TGTGCTCTTCCGATCTATTTTCACTTACAGGTTACAAATAAGAAACGAAAAAAAAACAGAAAAGAAAAAAGGTGAATAGGGAAAGGTAAAGGAAAATAAGAAGAAGATATTAAATAAATCTTTATCATTCACATTATTTAATCATACATAATAGGGATGTTTCACCCCCTTAACGTGCGACTCAGCACGGATGCAAAAATTGTAGTATCTTATTTTTGTCTGTAGTTAATAACATATCCAAAGCTTATTGAAATCGGAGGGGGACACTTCCGTGTGTTCCCTTGTTAGTCTTCCTAAGCGATAATAAGCAAATTAATAAATTAATCTAACACATAAATAACACTAACCGAAAACGTACATTATTAATAAAATCCGATAACATGTTTAAATATTTAAAACGATCACGAACATTTCTGCGGAAGTCATATGTTCTTTCTATTCTTTCATCTTACATCAATTGCGACAGTTTCTCATGACAAAGAATATCTGGCGTCCGACATGGTTTAATTTCCAATAGACTGATATCAAGGACTGTATCTATAGTATCATTTATAGTTCTGTGCAATGAATAAATAGCAAAAAGTCAACTATGTTTAAGATAAAAAATTAGCAATATAACTATGTGCAATCAAGAATTATTTACATAGCTGTCCATTAAACCATATCTATCACTAGACTGAAGTGTCAGAACCTTACTGTAACAACGTTCACACTAAACTGACTTTAATTTGACTGTGACAGAACATAATAAAGGTCAAAGCATCAATTGTCTATATAGAAAATTTTTGTAGTTTATGATTGAAAATCATCGGTAGCTATTCTATATAACAAATCCGTATATGAAGAATCCAGAAGTTCCGTGTCACTATTTAAATTATTTTTATTTTTTTGAGATTTGATATGGATCATTTCTGACATTAAACGCTTAAAATAATTTGGCTCAGAATCTAATATAATTCATGGTAGAAATACAAGAGTATGCTCTTGCGCATGGGAAAGCCAGATCAGATAATCAATGAGAATTGCAGCTTGATTACGTTATTATTACGTGGTAAATTCAAACGCTTACAGATAAAATAAATGATTATGGTATCATCAATACATTAAGGAATAAGCAAAACGATTTCACGTAAATGATAAGTAATAAATATTATTGTATCAC